CTGAAGAAATACCTCCTCATTTCAATTCTAAGGGTCAGCCCTTCACTCTGAGACTGTGCCATCATGCCCTAGTTTCTCGTATTCGTTGAAACATCTTCTACATGTCCACGTTCTCCAGGCCTTTCAGTATTCTGGAATTTTCAATGAGATCCTCTGTAATCCTTCTAAAACCCATCAAGTACAGACCCAGAGTCCTCAACCATCCCTAATATGACAAGCCCTTCATCCCCGGTATCATTCTTGTATATCTCCCCTGGACCCCTGGCAAGGCCAGTACATCCCTCCTTAGATATGGGACCCAAAACTGCTCATAATATTCCAAATGTGGTCTGGCCAGAGTTGTGCAACCTCAGCAGTATATCCCAGCTTTTGTATTCTAGCTGTCTTCAAATTAATTTGTCTTCCTAACTGCCATCTGAACCTGCATGTTAACCTTAAAAGAATGCTGAACTAGGACCCCTACGTCCCTTTGTGCTTTAGATTTCCAAAGCCTTCCCCATTTAGAAAACCATCAATACCTCTAATTTTCTGACCAAAGTGCATCTGCCACTACTTTGTTCAATCTCCTAGCCTGTCAAGTCTTTCTGCAGCGTCCCCTATCTTTGTGTTATCTGCAAATTTAACAACAATGCCCTCAGTTCCTTTGTCCAGATCATTAATGTACAGTGTGAACAGTTGTGGTCCCAACACAGACCCCTGTGGAACACCATTAGTCACCTGCTGTCGTCCTGAGAAAGAATCCTTTATCCCCACTCTCTGCCTTCTGCCAGTCAGCCAATCCTCTATGCATGACAGTAACTTGCCACTAACACCATGGGTTCTTTTCTTACTTTGCAGCCTGTTGTGTAGCTCTATGTCAAAGGCCAAAGTAGGAATAAACAGGTCATTTTCCAAGAGACAGGCAGTGACTGAGTACTGCAGGGATTAGTGCTTGAGCCCCAGCTATTCACAATAGCTATTCACAATATTCATAATGATTTAGATGAGGAAACTAAATAATGTCTCCAGTTTTGCAGACTGCACAAAGCTGGGCTGTGAGGAAGAAGTGGAGATGCTCCAGTGTGATTTTAACAAGTTGAGTGAGTGAGCAAATACATTGCAGGTGAGACAGAACATGGATAAATGTGAGGTAGTCCACTTTGGTAACAAAAATAGGAAGGCAGGTTATTTATCTGAATGGTGATAGATTGTGAAAGGGGGACTTGCAACAAGACCTGAGTGTCCTTGTTCACCAGTTGCTGAAAGTTAGCATGCAAGTGCAGCAAGTTGTGAAGATGATAAATGGTATGTTGACTTTCATAGCAAGAGGATTCAAGTACAGGAGCAGAGATGCCATGCTGCAAATGTACAGGCCTTGGTGCGATTATACCTTGAGTATTGTGTACAGTTTCGGTCTCCTCACCTAAGGAAGAATGTCCTGGCTATGGAGGGAGTGCAATGAAGATTTACTAGACTGATGGTTGGGGTGAGATGGCAGGACTGTTGTATGAAGGGAGACTGCATCAGTTAAGAGTATATTCACTGGAGTTCAGAAGACTGAGGGGGATCTCATAGAAACCTGTAAATTTTGAACAGGAGCTAGGCGCAGTAAATGCAGAAAGGATGTTGCTGATAACCAGACAGTCAATATTAGGGGTTGCAGTTTAAGGGGTAGGCCATTTAAGACTGAGATGAAAAATTTCTTCACCCAGAGAATAGGGAGCCTGTGGAATTCTCTGCAACAGAAAGCAGTTGAAAGTAAACATTGATTTTTTTTCGAGGAGTTAGATATAGCCTTTAGGGCTGAAGGGATCTAGGGTATGGGGAGGAAGTGGGAACAAGAGTATGAGTTGAATGATCAGCCATGATCATATTGAATGGTGGAGCAGGCTTACTTATGCTCCTATTTTCTGTGTTTAGTGTGCAAGAATCTGCCAACGCAATAAAGCTGATGAGCATGCTCTCCATTGCCAGGGTATGCTGCAACCTTATAAGAACCTTGGAATAGAGATTTTTGTCCCGCCACTTGATGTTGCAGATAAATCTTCAGCAGCAACGGTGGAATGCTTCCTGTTGCTGTATATATTATGCTGCCTCATATGCCTCACACCCTTAGAAAATGGGTTTGAGAACCACTACCTCTTGGACTTTGAACTATTTAAATCCTCCAATCTAAATATTGGAATGCTGAATAATCCTGTCCTTGTTATCATTTTAGGCAGTTTCTGAGGACTGAAACTGACTTGCTTCAACTCTAGTTCAATGAGTTATAAGGTGACCATTAAGTTCAATGCACAATCTGCAGCAATGATAGTGCTTAGTGGGTTGAATAGATGAACTGTTCGGAAGTTTGTGCACCTTCCCCAATACTTTTGCATGGTCACAATTAAGTCTATCAATGTGTTCAGTGCTTTCCCAAATGGACCTTCCCCATTTTGGTTAGTCGCAAACCATGTATTCCTATGAGTCAGTGGGATGTTTGTCAGCTGAAAGCAATGGCAGGATCTGGGGTGCCAGGGTGGGTAAAAGACATGGAAGGAAATGGTCAGGCTGTAAAATTATTGAACTCGATATTAGTCCTGAGACTGCAAGGTCCACACGTGAAAAATAAGATGCAATTCCTCCAGCTTGCACTGGGCCTCACTGGAGCACTGTAGCAAGCCCAAGACAGAAATATTAGCATGAGAACTTGGTGGTGTATTGGAGTGGTCTGCAACAAGAAGCTCAGGGTCATTTTTACAAACAGAACATTAGGTGTTCCACAAAGTAATCAACCTGTCTGCATTTTGTCTCCCCAGTGTAGAGGAGACAACATTGTGAGCAGCTACTACAGTAGACTAGATTGAGTAAAGTACAGGTAAATCATTGCTTCACCTGGAAGTGTGTCTGGGGCCTTGGACAGTGAAGAGGGAGGAGGTAAACGGGCAAGTGTTGCACCTTCTGCGATTGTATGGATAGGTGCAATGGGGTGTCAGGAGTGGTGGGGGAGTGGACCAGGGTGTTCTGGGAGAGCGGTCCCTTTGAAATGCTAACAAAGGAGGGGAGGGGAATCTGTGTCTAGTGGTGGCATCCTGTTGGAGGTGGCGGAAATGGCAGCTAATGATTCTTTAAATTTGGAGGTTGGTGGAGTGGAAAACGAGGTCCAGGGAAACCCTGTTGTTGTTGTGGGAAGGAAGAGAAAGAGTGAGAGCAGACGTGCAGGAAATGGGTTGGACGTGGCTAAGGGCCCTGTAACCACAGTGCCAGGGAATCCTTGGTTGCTTTTGAAGGGTAGTCCTATTTGCAGTTTGTGAAGTGGTCTTTAACCGATTTAACCAACAGAATATTGGTACATAATAATTCATTAGCTGTCAACTGCACAAAAAAATCATTGGTAATTGTAAATTGTAAATGAATTGTTCCATGTCATTGGTGATGTCAGCTTGATTCATTCACTTGCACTTTTGATCAATTCAATTTTTTGTTGGTATTAGTTGAGGGATAAATATTGCCAGGGCTCCAGGAGAATTAAGTAAGTCTTTAGAACATGTTAAGAATGACAGGAGAAGTGATGTGTGACAGTTGCAGCATGTGGGAGTTCCTGGATGCCAGTTTAGTTCAGAGCCAATGTGTCAACAGCTTTGGTTCAGAATTTGAGATGGAGGCTACAATACAGACATTGTGATGTATCAGGGAAGGGGAATGTTACCTGGATTCTTTGTACTGGGAGGCAGTTACACCCCTTAAGGTTGGGTCATCAGATTTGGAGAGAGTGACTGTGAGTGAAACAGTGAGAACAGGAGCACAGGAACCTTAGACTTCATAATTGTCCAAAAAGTTTGCATTTTTTTCAGCTTGCCTAGATGAGAGAGAGAGCTGCAGGCTGGGTGACCATGGCACGGTAGTATAGGGAACCATTCAAGAATGGGCAATAAAGAGGAATTTAGTAATAGGAGGGGAGAGTACAATGGTGGGGGGGGGGGGGTATGGGGGGGGGGGGGGGGGGGGGGTGGTGGGGAGGGGAGGAAGCTGATACATTTTTGTAGCAGAGAGCACAAGCCCAAATAGCTATGGTGCTTACCTGGTGCCACAGTTCGGGACATCAGCTCAGGGCTGCTAAGTAATTTGCAACGGGAGGGGGAGGATCCTGTCATTGTGGTCATGTAGGTACTAACAATATAGGCAGGACAAAAAGGGAGGCTCTACCTATCAGTTTCAGGATATAGGTATCCTTATTAAATAAGAAGCAGAACCTCAAAGGTCTGAATGTTTTTCTGTTCAAATGGGCATAGGGTAAAACAAATTTGAGAAATTGATGGATGGCTCAAAGACTGGTGTGGGAGAATTGAGTTCCAAATTATGGGACATTGGCCTCAGCATAGGGGAAAATGGATCTGTATCAATGGGGCGATCTTCAACTGAACTGTGCTGCAACCGGGGTTATAGCCAACTACATAACTAGGGATTAGAGAGGGCTTTAAACCAAAAATTGGGGCAACCGAACAATTTTGGGAAGTTGCGGGAAATCAATGAGTAGAATGAAATCCAAAGAGCAAATTATTAACTCAGGAAATAAACAGACTGTGACAGGAAGGGATATGGAGGTCAAATCAGAAGAGTTAACTAACAAACAAGACCAGAATTTATAAAGAGAGTAATAGGATAAAACCAAAGGCTGTATATCTGAATGCATGTAATATTCAAATCACAGCAAACAAGAGCACAGATAGAAATACAGAAGTAAAATCTAGTAGCTAGTATAGAGACATGGCTACAGGATGATATGGATTAGCATCTAAATATTGAACACCTAGGCTAAGCAGATCATCTAACCTTCCCTTAATTACCCAGAAGTTTTGAGGAACAATGGTGTGTGATGCAGAAAGTATGAGAGAGAAGAACTTCAGAAAAATATATATTTTAGGTGCTTTTTCTGAAAATTACATAAAAACAGCTCTTGTATCAGAAAAGCTCTCAGGTATGTGTTACGGGTCTAAGAACTGAACTGTTCAGCTTTAGGCACTTTCCTTTTCCTTTTCCAGGCGGGAAAGATCAAAGGTGCCTTACATAGTGCGACAATGTGTGGAAGAGATTGAGAGACGTGGAATGGAGGAGATTGGAATTTATCGAGTTTCAGGAGTTGCAACAGACATTCAGGCCCTTAAAGCTGCTTTTGATGTCAGTAAGTATCTTGGTGTTGTATGTAATACATGGTCCTTAAAGTCAGGAAAGGATGGATTTCAAATTAAATCAGAAAAAAAAACCTTTAATAAATAAAGAAAAACAATTGGATTTATGTTGCTGTGTAGGAATATAGGGATAGGAATAGGCCATTCAGCCCCTCAAGCCTGTTCATTCAGTGAGATTGTGGCTGATTTGTGGCCTAACTCCATATACCTGCCATTGGCCCATGTCCATTAATAACTTTGCTTAACAAAAAAAAACTACTCTCAGATTTAAAATTAACAACTCTTTCAGCAGCCCCTGCCAATTTTTGGAAGGGAGTTCCAAGCATCTACCACCCTTTGTATGTAGAAGTGCTTCCTAACTTCTCTCCTCAATGATCTAGGCCTAATTCTCAGACTATGCCCTCTAGTTTTAGAATCCCCAATCAGGGGAAACAGTTTATCTTTATCAACCCTCTCTTCCTATTAACAACTTGAAGCCTTTGATCAGATCACCCCTTAACCTTCTAATTTTTAGAGAAAACGGGCCTAATTTTAATATTCTCTTCTCATAACTTAAGCCCCGAAGCCCAGGTATCATTCTTGTAAGCCAAAAACAAAGAATTGTGGGTGCTGGAAATCTGACACAAAAATAGAAATTGCTGAAGAAATTCAGTAGGTCTGTCAGCATGTGTGGAGAAAAAGTAGTTTCTCCAGCAGTTTCTGTTTTGTATCATTCTTGTAAACCTATGGTACACTCCTTCCAAGGACAATATATTCTTCCTAAGGTGTGGTACCCAGATCTGCTCACAGTACTCCAAGTGGAGTCTAAATAGGGTTTTGTATAACTGCTGCATCTTTTCATGACATTTCAACAATCTACTCACCCGAACCCGAAGTCTCTTTAGACATCCACTGTTGTTTAACTTCATACACCTGGAAAATACCCTATCCTTTTTTTAGTACAAAATGGATAATCTCACACTTGCTTACATTGAACTCTATCTGCCACATCGATATCCCTTGGTAATTTGTACCGCATTACTTTGTGCCATCATCAAGAGTGGATATATGACTTTCTATGCCATTTTATATAAATAAATAATGTGAATAATTGAGGCCCTAACGTAGATCTTTGCAGGACACCACTGGTCACATCCTGCCAATTTGAGTACGTACTCATTATTCCTACTTTCTGTCACCTGCCACTCAATCAATTTCCCAGACTTATTAATAATTTGCCCTCAATTATATGGGCTTCTAACAGTAATGTTAATGTGGGACTTTATCAAATGCCTTCTGCTAGTCCAAATAAAAAACATCCATAGGCCTTCCTCTGTCGACTGTCTTAGTCACCTCCTCAAAATATTGAGTGTTGTTTGTCAGGCATATCCTACCAGTGAAAATCTTTAAGGTGTTCGTCCATACCTCATCCATAATGCCTGACTCCAGCAATTACTCCATCGCAGATATTAGGCTAACTGGCTTGTAATTCCCTTGTTCTCCTTTTTCACCCTTCTTCTAGAAGTTAGAGTTAGTTAGAACTCCTACAGTGTGAAACAGGCACTTCAGCCCAACAAGTCCACACTGACCCTCAGAGCATCCCACCCAGACCCATCCCCCTATAACCCACCTAATCTACACATCTCCATTCACTAAGGGCAATTTAGTGTGCCAATCCACCTAACCTGCACATCTTTGGACTCTGGGAGGAAACCAGAGGACCTGGAGGAAACCCACGCAGACACAGGGAGAACATGCAAACGCCACACAGTTGCCCGAGGTTGGAATTGAACCCGGGTCCCTGGCGCTGTGAGGCAGCAGTACTAACCACTGAGCCACCGTGCTGCCCCAAACTGGGAGCCTGTTATCTGTGACCAACACTTCGGGAGTCCTTGTAATGTAGAAGATGCATGTAGTTTTTCTGTCATCATCCCTGTGTTTGACAATTGAACTCTGTGCACATCCAGCCACTTTGAGTGGGCATCCACAATGACTAAGGACATTGAGACCATGATAGAACCTGCATAGTTCACGTGTAACTAAGCCCAGGGTTAACTGGACAACTCTGGGGCAACTGGTGGTAATTTTTGTCCTTGTTGGCACTCTGGGCTCTGCCCTACCAGCACGGCTATGTCTGCATCCAATCATGGCCACCAGATATACGTTTTCACCAGCATCTTCATTTTGGAAACCCCTGGAGGAGTTCAGCCTGTATCTGGCAGTGACCTTTGGCCAGGACAATCACTCTTGCTCCCCATAATAAAATGCCATTCTGTACTGTGATCTGATCTCTTCAGATCCAAAAAGGTTTCATTTCTGGTTGTGACAGCCCTTTGGTTTCCCCCATCACCACCAGCTGTTTCAGTTTTGACACAGCCGGATCTTTCTGCGTCCAGAGACTGGTATTATCAGCTGTGACTGGAAATATGTCCAGAAAATTTAAAACCATTACAGACTCTTTCAGTGGTGGCACCACCAGTGATATCTGCCAGTGGGAGGCAGCTCAATGCATCTGCATTTGCTATTTGGCCTCCCCGATGGTGTTCCAACTTGTAACTATATGTATTTAGTATTAGAGCTCACCGCTGAATTTGGCCTGAAACTATGAGCAACACTTCCTGGTCCTCTTTAAGTTGATCTAGCAGGAGTTTGTGGTCGGTTAATATTAGAAATTTATGTCCGTAAAGGTATGGATAGAACTTCCTGATTCCAAATATGACCGCCAAACCTTTCTTTATCTGGACGTATTTACGCTTTGCATTAACCGAAGTCCTGGGTGCATATGCTGTTGGGTGTTCCTCTTCATTGGGCCACCTATGAGCTAATACTGTCCCAATGCCGTACAGGGAGGCATCGTATGTCATACCAGATCTTGCTGGAAATCATAGCACGCTACCACCTTCGAGGATGATAGCTGTTTCTTCACATCCCTGAAAGCTATGGCATGGCTGCATACCGTTTCCAAGGCTGACCTTTTTTAAAGAGTTGAGGCAAAAGTGCCAGTTTGGAGGCCAGGTTGTGTATGAACTTTCCGTAATAATTCACTAGCCCAAGGAAAGACCTAAGCTCCGGTATAGACCTTGGAACCGGGGCACCTTTGATCAGCCTTGCTTTTATCCTCCAATGGTGTAACCCAGTCTTGTCGACTCTATGATCCAAGTAGGTCACTTGGGGTACCTGGAACTCACATTTTTCCCTTCTAAGGCATACATCTGCCTGGGAGAAACATCTAAGGACTATGTCCAAGTTCTCTAAGTGCTCCATATTGGTCTTCCCTGTTATTAATATGTCATCTAGACAAATGACAGCCTGGGGTGGACCTTGTAAAATGTTCTCCATTGTCCACTGAAAAATTGCACAGTCTGCTAATACCTAAATGGTAGCCTCATGTATTGGTATGAACCCTTATGGTATTAATTGTAGCATATTTTTGGGAATCCTCATCTAACTGCAATCACAAGTATGCATGGTTCATGTCCAGCTTTGCGACAGATTGGGTTACAGAAATGCATGTCTGATCCTGTCAATGGGATCTCCTATAATCACTGCATATGTTTGCATCCGTGTTCACTTCATTTATTTAGATGATTTATCTATGTTCAGTTCATGTATTCATGTTCAAATTATTTATCCATGTACACTTTCTTTGTCCATGTTTCAGTTCACTTATCTGTGCATACTTGAAAATATATTTCCTGTTACAGATAATAAAGATGTCTCTGTGATGATGAGCGAAATGGATGTTAATGCCATTGCGGGAACCTTGAAACTCTATTTCCGTGAGTTGCCTGAACCACTTTTCACAGATGAGTTATACCCTAATTTTGCTGAAGGAATTGGTAAGTCACAGTCAGGATTTTTCCCTCTTGTCTTGGAAAGACTGATTTTATTTTTAATATATTGTTGATCTTATTGGCTTTGCACTAGAAATTAATCTGTGTTCCTTCTTTCCCTCTGCTAAATTATATTTGAATGTTCTGTGCATCTTATCCTGCCTGAGCGGAAGATCGCACAACCTGATCCCTGAAAACAACTCAGGTCATTTGAGAACTGACCAACATCTATTAGCATAGCTCCCTTTCACAATTCTATGTCATCCTGATCCTCATACATGCCTCACAATAACACTCTCCCAGTCATGTAAGAAGAGAGACTGAATAAGTGAGGACTATGTTCACTGAAGTTCAGAACAATGAGGGATGACTGCATAGAGATGTATTAAATTCTAACAGGACTGAACACAGTAAATGCAGAAAGATGTTCCCAATGATCAGAGAGTCCAGAACCAGGGGATTACGATTTAACGGTGCAGGCTAAGCCATTTAGGACTGAGATGAGAAGAAATTTCTTCATCCAGAGTGTGATGAGCCTGTGGAATTCTCTGCCACAAAAAGCAGTTGAGACCAAAACATTGAATGTTTTCAAAGAGTTAGGTATAAGTCTTAAGGCTAGAGGAATCAAAGAGTATGGGGAGAAAGCAGGATACTGGGTTGGATGATCAGTCATTCCAAATTCTGGAAAATTTAAAAACTACAGGAAATTCTGGAAATATTCTGCAGAATTGCACATTTGCACTGTTGTACAGCAGGGAGAGTCGCAATGATATGAAACTGTATAGTCCCCATCACAAACATTTCTGTGGCCACGAGAGAGACTCCAGAATAGTGTTTTGCCTCCCTGGTGCTAGGGTAAAGGATGTTTCTGAGCAGGCACAGGATATACTGAAAGGGGAGGATGAGCAGCCAGTGATTGTGGTCCATAATATACTAACAACATAGGCAGAGAGAGAGATGAGGTTCTACAAAGGAAATGTAAGGAGTTAGATATAAAGTTGCAAAGTAGGACCTCAAGGGTTGTAATCTCAGGATTACTCCCTGTCCCACATGCTAGTGAGGCCAGAAATAGCAAGATAATACAGATTAACGTGTGGCTAAACAGCTGGCTTAAGAGATATCTAGATCACTCAAATCTAATCTGGGGCTTGTGGGACCTGTACAAAATGGGTGGATTGCGTCTAAACAGGAAAGGCACGGATATCCTTGCAACGATGTTTGCTAGTGCCACTCGGGAGTGTTTAAACTAGTGTGGAAGGGGGTTGGGAAACGAAACAGTAGTTCAGCGTGTGGAGTGATTGAGGAGAAGATTGACATTAAGTCAAGCAAGTCTACTAGGAAGAACAGGAAGGGCAAGGGTAACAAACATGCTGGGACTAGCAATCTGAAGTGTATTTACTTTAATACAAAGTAACAAGTAAATAACAAGTAAAACACATGAACTTAGAGCTTGAATTAGAATATGGGACTACGATATGATAGTCATTACAAAAACTTAGTTGAGAGAAGTAGAGGACTGGAAGCTCAGCATTCTAGGCTTTACGTCTTTCAGGTGAGATAGAGAGGGGTGTAAAAGAGGTGGGGAATTTGCAGTACTTATTAAGGAGAATGTCACAGCTACACTGAGAGAGGGCATCTTGGAGGGCTGATCCAGTGAGGCCGTATGGGTAGAACTTTAGAATACGAAAGGTGCAATCACTATGATGGGGTATACCTTAGGCATCCCAATAGCAGCAGAAGACAGAGCAACAGCAGATCAGGGAAAGATGTAAAAACAGCAGTGTTGTTGTAGTGGGCGATTTTAACTTGCCCAATATTGACTAGGACTCCCTTAGTGTCAGAGGCTTATATCGGGCAGAATTTGTTAAGTGCATCCAGGAGGGCTCCTCGAAAAAGTATGTAGATAGTCTAACTAGGGAAGGAGCCATACTAAATCTTGTACTGGAGAATAAGCCTGACCAGGTGACTGAAGTTTCAGTGGGGGATCATTTTGGGAACAATGATCATAAGTCTTTAAGTTTTAAGATAGTTATGGATAAGGATAAGACTGGTCCTCAGATGAAAGTGCTAAACTGGGGGAAGGCTAATTACAACAGTATTAGGTAGGAACTGGAGAAATTAGATTAGAAGTGGCTGTTTGAGGGTAAATCCACATCTTTGAATATTTGATGTATTTATTTTCACGTGTATTTTGTTACAAAATACAAACCAAAATATAGAATATAAAGGCAAAAAGAAGGAACAAAGAAAAAGTGTTAACTTTACACTTCTTGTTAAGTGCTCCACCATGGGCCTTGGGCCTGGCGGCTAGGCACAAGACCCCTTCGCAGTGCTGCCGCCGCTGGAATGAAAATCACCAATTTTCGGCGACATCTCGCCTCTATCGACGCCCTTGCCACTATGACTCCTCACTGGACCTCACCAATTCAGATGCCACTAATGCTGCCAGCAGCTCAAATTCTACTCCACCACTGCCATGAGTCCACTTTGAGCCCACCCCTCTGATAAGCCGCTGCTGATGCTGCCGGGTCTCGTACTGGAGCCAAACTCGCCTTCGCCTCCATTAATGTGCGCTAGATGCAGACAGGGAACCCAAACTCACCTCTGCCACAGCAGCCATGATTTGTCCGCCTCATCAATGCAGAAGCTGCCAGGAATCCAAACTCACCTTTGTCACCACCTACATCCATGCTGCTGGGCCCATTCAAGTCTGCGCTAGGATCACTTGTCACCATTGATGCCGTTGCTGCAACCGAGCTCTTCAACAAGAGGTAATTAAAATAGAAGATTAAAAAAAGGGAAAAGAAAAAAACGAAAAGAAAAGCATACTGAGGGGACAAGCCCCAGGCTCAGAAGTGCTACTTCACCGCCATTTTACCTGAAAATCTGGATATGTGGGAATCTTTTAAAGGCCAGTTGATCTGAGTTCAGGACCAGCATGTTCCTGTGAGGATGAAAGATAAGGATGGCAAGATTCAGGAACCTTGGATGATAAGAGATATTGAAAGATTAGTTAAAAATGAAAAGGAAGCATATGTAGGGTTTAGGAAACTGAAATCAAACAAGGCCTTTAAGGAATACAAAGGAAGCAGAAAAGAACTGCAACAAGAAATGTTTTTGGGAAATAGATTAAATGAGAGTCTCAAGGCACTTCATACATCTATTAGGGGAAAGAGCAGGTCCACTCAAAGACAAAGGGGGAGATTATACACGGAGCCAGAGGAGGTGGGTAAGGTCCTTAATTAGTATTTTTTTTAATTCATTTATGGGATGTGAGCGTTGCTGGCTGGCCAGCATTTATTGCCTGTCTCTAGTTGCCTTTGAGGAGGTGGTGGTGGTGAGCTGCCTCTTTGAGCTGCAACCTACCTGCTATGGGTTGATCCACAATACCATTAGGAAGGGCATTCCAGGATTTTGACCCAGCGACTGTGAAGGAGTGGTGATATATTTCCAAATCATGATGGTGAGTGGAGGGGAACTTGAAGGTGGTGGTGTTCCTGTACATCCACTGCCCTTGTCCTTCTAGATGGAAGGGGTCATGGGTTTGGAAGGTCCTGTTTGAGGATCTTTGCTGAATTTCTACAGTGCATCTTGTAGATAGTAGACAATGCTGTTACTGAGCATCAGTGATGGAGGGAGTGGATGCTTGTGAATGTAGTGCAGTCAACTGGGCTGCTTTGTCCTGGATGGTGTCAAGCGTCTTGAGTATTCTTGGAGCTGCTGTCGTACAGGCAAGTGAGGAGTATTCTATCACACTCCTGACTTGTACCTTGTAGATGGTGGACAGACTTTGGAGAGTCAGGAGATGTGGTATTCGCTGCAGTATTCCAAGCCTCTGACCTGCTCTTGTAGCCACTGTGTTTATATGGTGAGTCCAGTTGAGTTTCTGGTCAATGATAACCCCCAGGATATTGACAATGGGAGATTCACTGATGGTAACACCATTGAATGTCAAGGAATGGAGGTTTGATGGTCATAGCCTGGCATTTGTGTGGTGAGCATGTTACTTGCCACTTGTCAGCCCAAGCCTGGATATTGTCCAGATTTTGTTGCACTTGGACGTGGACTGCTTCAGTACCTGAGGAGTCACGAATGGTGCTGAACATTGTGCAATCATCGGCAAACATCCCCATTTCTGACTTAATGATGGAGCGAAGGTCGTTGATGAAGCAACTGAAGATAGTTGGGCCTAGGACACAACCTTAGGAACTCCTGCAGAGATGTCCTGGGGCTGAGATGACTGACCGCCAACAACCACAACCATTTTTCTATGTGTCAGGTATGACTGTAACCACGAGAGAGTATCCCACCGGCTTCCCACTGATTCCAGTTTTGCCACATAACTTTGATGCCACATTTGGCGGAATGTAGCCTTGATGACAAGGGCTGTCTCTCTTACCTCACCTCCAGAATTCCAGTCTTTTGTCCATGTTTGAACCAAGGCTGTATTGAAGTCTGGAACTGTATGGTCCTGGCAGAAGCCAAACCAGGTTATTGCTGAGCAGGTGCTGCTTGATAGCACTATTGATGACACCATCCATCACTTTACTGATGATCAAAAGTAGACTGATGTAGATGTAATTGGCCGTGTTGGATTTGTCCTGCACTGTATGTATCGGACATCCTTGGGCAGTTTTTCACATTGTTGGTTAGATGCCAGTGTTGTACCTGTATTGGACCAGCTTGGCTAGGGAAGCAGCAAGTTCTGGAGCACTTTGCATCAGTATTCACCAACGTGAAAGACACGGATGATGGTGAGATTAGGGAGGGGTATGTCAATATTAAGGAGGAGGTGTTGGGTGTCTTGAAAAGTATTAAAGTAGATAAGTCCCAGGGGCTAATGGCATCTATCTCAGGATACTGAAGGAGGCAAGGGAGGAGATTGCTGGGACCTTGACAGAGATCTTTGTATCCTCTTTACCCACAGGTGAGGTCCCAGAAGACTGGAGAATAGCTAAGGTTGTTCCTTTGTTTAAGAAGGGCAACAGGGATCATCCATGAAGTTA